AAGTCACTGAAGGTCTTTGCTAGTAATATTACATGAAGAGTAGAGCCATTCAGCAGATGTTGGTTGGCTCTACTCTTAGTTCATTAGAAATTATCATCTGTGTCTTCCACCATAAGGGCTGATCAAAGGTGATTACTGGCGAAACATGATACCGACTTGCTTCTACGAAGACGAGACAAATTTCAGCATTGAATAGACACAACTAACGTCACTTGAACTCATGTCTATCACTGACAGACAAGAAACAGATGACTTTTCCAGGATAGTCTCCTTGACTAACAGTCTGCATCAATGTTGACCATCCAGGCCTTGATGAGCGTAATGGCTATACTACTTTCAACAGAAGATCCAATCTCTACTCCTGTTTAATTTGTTTAATGTTCATTTGCTTCTGAAATATCAAGAGATTCAATGTTTTGTCTGATGGTTTACAGAAGATGCTGGTCTTCGCCTTTACAAGTGCTGTTTCAGTTGCTGCAGTGTACCTAGGCACTGGATCCTTTCTCTTTAATCCTTATTGCTAACACAGGTTGTAGTCTACATACCTGTAGCACCTGGTCGTAATTAACTCAGCAAACAAAGCACTCAGCAGAAAAGAGCAAGACAAGGAAAGCAAGCAGGGGTAGATTTCTTTACCATTGTATTCGGTCACCAATATATACACCTTGTACAGAATGAAATGGTACTATTCAGAGTCATAAACATGAGTGATCACGACCAGTTTCTGTGGAGGTCTGCCACTCAACTAGGTAAGCTGAAGTAACGTCACCTTGGGTGAAGTAGCCTGCTTCCAGGTGATTGGCGACTTGAACTGGACAATAAGCACAAAAGTGGGGTCCCGGAACTGCTACACTCTGAATTCCCAATTCAATGACGAGTCTAATAAAATGTAACTTACTCGGGGCACGCCACATCCCTGACATTATCGTTGTAATAATGCCCATTTCGTAAATGTATTCATCCCCTCCAATGTTCTCACAATGTGGTCAACATTATCTGCCAAGTTCTGGACAAAATGGTCAGGGGTTAGTCCAGGAATATCTGTACCTTGTGAGGCTGCTGTACACATCACCAACTTCTTCACCTCTGAATATGACAAGCAGAAATCATGCTTGTTTGTAGAGCCAGCAGAAACATTGAACCAAAATGGTTGGGCAGTTGAACTGCTAGAGCTAGACAAGTCTGACCTTATTCAGTATAAACTGTTCCGTATAACTAATACAGTGATTATGAATGTCACAATATTGCTTTTATCATGATGATAACTTTGTTACTGAAATCATCCTCTATTTTCTGTTTTATGTAATTCACACTGTAAGAATCTTCCCAGAACTCTTTCATTTGTTTGCCAGATTACTCACTGTTATCTGTTCATCATTATTCTTTATGAGGTATTCAGTGACTGTAGCATACTTCCTCTTGTTGTGACTTTATAAGTCTACCCACTTGTTTCTGTGTTGATTCCTCAGTAAAACACTGATACATTAAGGAAATGCTGCAGAACTGGTGGTAGACGGAGACTGCAGCATGTAGATCTTTTGTTAGTTCAATTCTGCTGCGAACTTTACCAGACAAACTATCCTCCCGATTTGTATAGATCTTTTCTACAGTAGACTGGAAATCTTTTGTTCTCGCAGGGAGGGCCACTCTGTCAACAGACTCTTTCTTCTTCTATGTTGGCTAGACAGGCTGAGCACAGAACAAGCAGTGCTGACGGAAACTGAACACTTGCTTCTGTGAAGGAAGTGCACGACTGTTGGAGTTTCCGTCTTTACCTTAAGATCACGACCAATAATATTCTTATTACAGTAATTGTTACGCCCAGATGTGGTTTCTCAATATATGTCTTGCAGTTTTGTTCATCTATCTAATATTACATTGCGAGTGTCGTCGTTAATAGATAAAACGATGTTAATCAGCTTTATAATATTACATATTCATTTTCATCTTTCATGTTTTTTATATATATATATATATATATATAATATATATATATATATATATATATATATATATATATATATATATATATATATATATATATATATATATATGCTCTTGGGAGATTCTGAAGAGAAGTTGCAGAGATTGGTGGATGAATTTGGTAGGGTGTGCAAAAGAAGAAAATTAAAGGTGAATACAGGAAAGAGTAAGGTTATGAGGATAACAAAAAGATTAGGTGATGAAAGATTGAATATCAGATTGGAGGGAGAGAGTATGGAGGAGGTGAACGTATTCAGATATTTGGGAGTGGACGTGTCAGCGGATGGGTCTATGAAAGATGAGGTGAATCATAGAATTGATGAGGGAAAAAGAGTGAGTGGTGCACTTAGGAGTCTGTGGAGACAAAGAACTTTGTCCTTGGAGGCAAAGAGGGGAATGTATGAGAGTATAGTTTTACCAACGCTCTTATATGGGTGTGAAGCGTGGGTGATGAATGTTGCAGCGAGGAGAAGGCTGGAGGCAGTGGAGATGTCATGTCTGAGGGCAATGTGTGGTGTGAATATAATGCAGAGAATTCGTAGTTTGGAAGTTAGGAGGAGGTGCGGGATTACCAAAACTGTTGTCCAGAGGGCTGAGGAAGGGTTGTTGAGGTGGTTCGGACATGTAGAGAGAATGGAGCGAAACAGAATGACTTCAAGAGTGTATCAGTCTGTAGTGGAAGGAAGGCGGGGTAGGGGTCGGCCTAGGAAGGGTTGGAGGGAGGGGGTAAAGGAGGTTTTGTGTGCGAGGGGCTTGGACTTCCAGCAGGCATGCGTGAGCGTGTTTGATAGGAGTGAATGGAGACAAATGGTTTTTAATACTTGACGTGCTGTTGGAGTGTGAGCAAAGTAACATTTATGAAGGGATTCAGGGAAACCGGCAGGCCGGACTTGAGTCCTGGAGATGGGAAGTACAGTGCCTGCACTCTGAAGGAGGGGTGTTAATGTTGCAGTTTAAAAACTGTAGTGTAAAGCACCCTTCTGGCAAGACAGTGATGGAGTGAATGATGGTGAAAGTTTTTCTTTTTCGGGCCACCCTGCCTTGGTGGGAATCGGCCGGTGTGATAATAAAAAAATAATATATATATATATACCTGGAGTATATATATATATATATATATATATATATATATATATATATATATATATATATATATATATATATAGTATGTATGTATGTATTGGATAGATCACTGACCAGTGATAACAACCATTTAATGTTTGTATAACCTCACTTCTGGTTACTACTCGCCTGACGCGAGCTACGTCAGAGTTGAGTGGAGTAAAGTAGTAGGTACAGCATCTCTCTGGGTATGGAGGTCTTCATTGCTTCCTCATTTTAACTTACATTGAGAAGCTATTAGTCTAGAGCTTTATTCTCTAAAGTCACCAGAAATTGTGAGATCTTGTGAAACTTTCAGTGTATAGAAGTTCTCATGTGTTGAGAGATTTCGACTATTCTAGTGAACACCTTAATCGTCTCGGAAAATAGAGATGCTGTAACTTTATTGATCATAGTTATATAAAAGGCCCGTTCAGCTAGAACGAAGGTTATGGTAATTTATAAGTTGTGTATAAAGTTTGTGTTTATATATAATAACTAACAAAAAGGTACAATTAAAATAACTTAAGTCAAAAACGTTATCTACGTTATATTAAAAGTGTATTTTACAAAATTTTTTGATCTCCTTATTAATCTGTATACAAGATTAAATTATATTATCAGAAATAAATCCTTATTACGATATAACTGGAGTATGACTCTCTATCGAAATCCCATAGACTAACATCGCCTATTATTTATAAAGTTTATCGTAATAGTAATCATGTCAGCACTTTTAGTCCAGCAAATTTGTTGTTGCCATTGTTCCCCTTTTTGCGCAGTGCAACTGTTGGCAGTCCAGTGGTCAAAGACATCTTACATAACACAGTCATCTATGTCTGTAAAGTATTTAACACTCTCCACTGACAACTTCTTGACTGGGCTTTTAAATGATGTTAGATTAACAGGTTCCTCAAAAAGATTTAAACGAAGATCAAACTACACATCAGATATTATTTTTAATTCACAAACCGTTATCTTGTGTGCAGAAACCATATTTGTACACAATAATGACAAATAATGGTGTCGTCCTGGTTAGAAAGCGACATATTCCAGCCATATTTTAGATATCATTTTAGACAAGTTCCTCGTCTACATTTTTTAAAAGTTGTTCACAGATTCTTAAGAACATTTTTGTGAAAACAGGAATTCCCTTGATTTTTTTTTTTTTTTGTAAATTTGACCATTTTTAGGCCTAAACTGAGGCCTATTATATGAAAGGCAGTAATGCGATCCTCTTCCTTTAAACTCAGGAAGTAAACATCCAATGAAACACAATATTCTTGCCTATATAACCACTCAGATCACATCATTCACCTTTTTTTCCCAAGTGAGGCAAGAGAAGCCATACACTGTGTCACCTGATTCAAACAGCGACAAAGTAAAGTTAAGATACCATGTAATGAGCTTAAGCTGGTAAGGTTGTCACGCTTTAATACAGCTTTACAAATCAGAACCTGAAAGGCTTGGAATGTATCTACATAACATGACGATTATTGCACGTCTGTGATGTTCAGAATTCGAGTAAATTAAGAAAATTACTAACATTGAAGCCGCTGTTAGTTTAGTGTGCTGCGTAAACTATGTGGAAATAAATATTTATTGATGAAAATATTTTTTTTGATGTGAAGTGGTCAGTCTTCACATCAAATACTCGGCTTTGTTTATGATAGCTTACAAGGACACGTACATACAGTAGGTGATGGATGAGTGACACCGGAGACCTCTAAACAGAAGCTCGCAAGGATTCGAAGCCACTTGAGAACTGCAGGAAGTTCAATTTGCCGTACATTATTAGCCCTAACATTCCAACACAGAAAGAGACAGAAATATTATGGGGCTAATCTGTGACTCTGTCATGTGTCGATCATACATGTAACATCTCAACAGGGACAGAAAAAAAATGTGGGGCTGACCTGTCGATGTGTTCTGGCAGTAGAGCAGATGTGAGGGCTGAGTGTGCGCCTGAGCAGGCTCCAGGTAGACAGCGCCGGTGTAGTGAGGTCCAGGTTCCTCCACCATCAGAACTGGTCTCCACATCCACCTCACTCACCTCGCCTCCGCACTCCAGATTCACGCGCGCCTGTGTACATCAATACCCAATATTCTCTTCTTATTAATACTACACATCTTAATTTATAGCTCAGAGCTATTATCCACCCTAAGCTATTTTCAAAGCCCGGGTTTACATTAGGTATATGGCCAACTCTGTGTATGAGACCCGTAACAATGAACTAACTCCCAGGTCCCTATTTACTGTTAGGTGAACAAGGGCAGGAGGTGAAAACAAACTTTCATGCTGCTGCAACTAGTCTTTGTAAGGGAAACTAGCGGTAATGATACCACTGCTGGTGCTACCTCTGTTGGTACTAATGTTGTTAGTGCTACCACTATTTGTACTAATGTTGTTGGTGTTACTACTGCTGGTACTAATGTTGTTGGTGCTACAAATGTTGTTACTAATGTTGTTGGTGCTATCACTGTTGGTACTAATGTTGTTGGTGCTTCCACTGTTGTTACTAATGTTGTTGATGCTACAAATGTTACTAATGTTGTTGGTGCTTCCACTGTTGGTACTAATGTTGTTGGTGCTTCCACTGTTGGTACTAATGTTGTTGGTGCTTCCACTGTTGGTACTAATGTTGTTGGTGCTTCCACTGTTGGTACTAATGTTGTTGGTGCTTCCACTGTTGGTACTAATGTTGTTGGTGCTTCCACTGTTGGTACTAATGTTGTTGGTGCTTCCACTGTTTGTACTAATGTTGTTGGTGCTTCCACTGTTGGTACTAATGTTGTTAGTGTTACCACTGTTGGTTCTAATGTTGGTCTTACCACTGTTGGTACTAATGTTGTAGGTGTTACTACTGTTGATACTAATGGTGTTACCACTATTGGCACTAATGTTGTTGGTGTTACCAATGTTGGTACTAATGTTATTGGTGTTGCCACTGTTAGTGATGTAACTATTGGTGTTGTCACTGTTGGGGCGTCCACTGTTGGGGTTTCAACCATTGATGCTACAACTGTTAATGTTACTACTGATGAGTAGATAAATGGTTCAGAGAACCGAAAAGTTGATAAATTAGACACATGTGCAACACTTGGGTATCTTTAATGAGGAAACGTTTCGCCACACAGTGGCTTCCTCAGTTCTATACAAATATACCCAAGTGTTGTACATGTGTTTAATTTATCAACAGCTGGTGGTACTATTAATGTCAGTACTGCCATTGCTGGTGCTACCACTACTGGTGCTGCTACTGTTGGTGCTGCAACTGGTGGTGCTGCCAATGTTGATGTCACTGTTGGTACTGCCACTGTTGGTGCTACAACCGTTCATGCTACACCTGTTTGTGTTACTACTGATGAGTCACTGCTGTTGGTACCATTAATGTTAGTACTACCATTACTGGTGCTATCACTATTGGTACTGCCACTGTTGTTGCTTCTACTGCTACCATATACACAAAACCTGCCAATGATCGTGGTACCTCTACCTGTTCAATTTACATTTCCCGAAGAAGTGGTGGAGGATCGAGCCAACAACACGCTTCATTTGCTAAATAACCCACACGGTTTCATCTCATCGAGTAATACATCAATAATAATAATAATAATAATAATAATAATAATAATAATAATAATAATAATCTTAATATTTCCATTATTATTACTGCATGAGTTACAGCTTTCTTTGCAAGAGATATCACTGGAGATGGCAGCACTGACCTGGAAGAAGTGTTGAGGTTGTGATGGCAGCCATGGTAACAGTCTGAGGAACTCCAGCAACCACACGTCCAGTTCCTTCTTTCCAGGACCCTTCTGCTCCACACAGAACCTGCAGTGATAAGAACCTACAGCGGTGGGAACCTACAGTGATGGGAAGCTACAATGATGGGAACCTACAGTGATGAGAAACTACAGTGATGGAACCTACAGTGATGGGAGCTTTCAGTGATGGGAACCTGCACTGATGGGAACTTGCAGTGGTTGAAACTTGCGGTGATAGAACCTACAGTGATGCGAAGGTACAGTGATGGGAACCTGCAGTGACATAAACCTACAGAGATGGGACCCTAGAGTGTTGGGTCCTTACAGTAATATGAACCTACAGAAATGGAAACCTAAGTAATGAGAACTTACAGTGATGGGAAATTGAAGTGATGGAAACGTAGAGTAATGGGTACTTGCAGTGATAGGAACCTAAAGTGACGGTAACCTACAGTGATGGGAACCAGACCGATGGGAACCTACAATGATTGGAATCTACAGTGATGGAACCTACAGTGATGAAAGCCTACAGTGATGGGAATCTGTAGTGATGGAAATCTTCAGGAATGGAACCTACAGTGACGGGAATTAACAGTGATGAGAACCTACAGTGATGGAAACTTAGTGATGGGAGCCTAGCGATGGAACCTGCAGTGATGGGAACCTCAAGTGATGGGAACCTCCAGTGACGGGAACTTACAGTGATGGGCACCTGCAGTTATAGAAACCTGCAGTGACGAGAACCTACAGTGATACAACCTATAGTGGTGTGAACCTAGTGATGGAAACCTGCAGTGATGGAAACTTGCACTGATGGGAACCTTCAGTGATTGGAACTTGCACTGATGGGAACCTTCAGTGATTGGAACTTGCGGTGAAGGAACCTACAGTTATGCGAAGTTATAGTGATGGAAACCTGCAGTGATGGGAACATATATTGATGGGACTCTACAGTGATGGGACCTTCCAATAATATGAACCTACAGAAATGAGAGACTAAGTGATGAGAACTTACGGTGATGGGAACCTGCAGCGATGGACACGTACAGCGATGTGTACTCGCAGTGACAGGAACCTACAGTGATGGGAACGAGACTGATGAAACCTACGGTGATAGAATCTATAGTGATGAGAACCTGCAGTGATGGAACTTGCAGTAATGGGAACCTACAGTGATGCGAAGCTACAGTGATGGAAACCTGCAGTGATGAGAACCTGCAATGATGGAAACCTCCAGTGACGGGAACTTACAGTGATGGAAACCTCCAGTGACGGGAACTTACAGTGATGGGAACCTGCGATGATGGAAAAACATTGATGGAACCTGAACAGATAGGAGCCTACAGTGATGAGAAGGAACAACAATGGGAACCTACAGCGATGAGAACCTACAGTGCTGAGTACCTACAGTGATGGAACCTATAGTGATGGGAGCCTAAAGCGATGAGAACCTTCACTGATGGGAACGTGCAGTGATTAGAACTTTCAGTGATTGAACCTACAGTGATAAGATGGCACAGTGATGGGAACCTACAGTGATGGGAACCTACAGTGATGGGATCCTACAGTGATTGGTCCCTACAGTAATATGAACCTACAGAAATGGGAACCTAAGTAATGAGAATTGACAATGATGGCAAACTGCAGTGATGGAAACGTAGAGTGATGGGTACTTGCAGTGATAGGAACTTAAAGTGATAGTAACCTACAGTGATGGGAACCTACAATGATTGGAATCTACAGTGAGGGAACCTACAGTGACGGGAATTAACAGTGATGTACCGTACCTCGATCCGGAGATCGAATCCCCGGTACGGCTGGAAAACTTTAGGACGTGTTTCCTTAAGACACCTGTTGCCTATGTTCACCCATCAATATTAAATGGGTACCTGGGTGGTAGTGGACTGGTGTGGGTCGCATCCTGGGACAAAACTGACCTAATTTGCCCGAAATGCTCTACATAACAAGCGGCTTTCTATACAGTAGTATGTCATTGATATCAGCTTGGATTGTATATCTTGTACATGTACTTGTAGTAAATAAAGATATTATTATTATTATTATTATTATTATTATTATTACAGCGATGGAACCTACAGTGATGAGAACTTAGTGACGGGAACCTAGTGATGGAACCTGCAGCGATGGGAACCGGCAGTGATGGGAACCTCTAGTGACGGGATCTTACAGTGATGCGAACCTGCAGTGATGGGAACAAAGTGATGGGTACCTTCAGTGATAGAAGCTTACAGTGATGAGAATGTACAGTGATAGAACCTACAGTGATGGGAACTTGTAGAGATGGAATCTACAGCGATGGAAACCTGCAATGATGGGAACCTGCCATGATGGGAAGCTACAGTAGTGGGGACGTACAATGATGGGACCCTAAGCTGATGAGACCCTACAATGATGGCAACCTACAGTGATGGAACCTTTAGTGATGGGAGCCTAGTGATGGAAACCTACAGTGACGGGAACCAACAGTGATGGAGCCTACAGTGATGAGACCCTACAGTGACATGACCTTCAGTGAACAGGACCTACAGTGATGGAACCTACAGTGATGGGACCCTAGAGTAATGTAACCTCCAGTGATAGGCACTGTTAAGCAGTGACATGCAGAAAAAATATTTTTTTTAACATAGTTCCGGGAGTATACTGAAAGCGGACGTGTATTATTCCCTGAAAGTGGACGCGTTTTATTCCCGTGAGTCAGACAATGACCAGGACAGGAGCTGATGAGAGGTGTGTTTAGTTCAGTACCAGACGGGTGGTGACGGGGGTAAAGTCATCATGTTTTGGACGGTAGTTTGAGTAGGTAATTCTGCTAAGTTTTTTAGTGTATACTATAGATGGTTGTGTTTAAGTGATCTCATGTTTATCTGTAAAACCCTAGCATGCAGAGGCCTGTGTTTTGGAGAGTATTTAACGTTGCCACTGTAGGCTATGTAGCCTGCGGAAAGGATGGGGGGGGGGGGGTGTCACGGAGCCTCCCTGTTCATAAATGTTCATTTATTTTGTTTAACTCAGTAGCAGTGTGTTAGTGTAATGTGAACTGGAGTCTGGTGGTTTCTTGTCGTGGTTATAAGTTGTATATAAGTTACTATTATTAATATAGATATATATTTTACATAGGTGAATTTTTGTCCTTCCTTCCTAATAATAATTAATATTGTTTAATATATGAGTACATGCTGGCCCAAAAGTTGCTGTGTTTTTCAGTGTAATTTTATAACCCTTAGACAGCAGTGTGAGCAGCCGTTAAGAACCAGGAATATTTATGAACAGGGAGGCTCCGTGACACCCCCCCCCCCATCCTTTCCGCAGGCTACATAGCCTACAGTGGCAACGTTAAATACTCTCCAAAACACAGGCCTCTGCATGCTAGGGTTTTACAGATAAACATGAGATCACTTAAACACAACCATCTATAGTATACACTAAAAAACTTAGCAGAATTACCTACTCAAACTACCGTCCAAAACATGATGACTTTACCCCCGTCACCACCCATCTGGTACTGAACTAAACACACCTCTCATCAGCTCCTGTCCTGGTCATTGTCTGACTCACAGGAATAAAACGCGTCCACTTTCACGGAATAATACACGTCCGCTTTCAGTATACTCCCGGAACTATGTTATATAAAATATTTTTTTCTGCATGTCTGCGTAACAGGACTTAGTCATGGTAGCCTGCAGTGATGGTAGCCTGCAGTGATGGTAGCCTGCAGTGATGGTAGCCTGAAGTGATGGAACCTGCAGTGATGGTAGCCTGCAGTGATGGAACCTGCAGTGATGGTAGCCTGCAGTGATGGTAGCCTGCAGTGATGGTAGCCTGCAGTGATGGAACCTGCAGTGATGGTAGCCTGCAGTGATGGAACCTGCAGTGATGGTAGCCTGCAGTGATGGAACCTGCAGTGATGGTAGCCTGCAGTGATGGTAGCCTGCAGTGATGGTAGCCTGCAGTGATGGTAGCCTGCAGTGATGGAACCTGCAGTGATGGTAGCCTGCAGTGATGGAACCTGCAGTGATGGTAGCCTGCAGTGATGGAACCTGCAGTGATGGTAGCCTGCAGTGATGGTAGCCTGCAGTGATGGTAGCCTGCAGTGATGGAACCTGCAGTGATGGTAGCCTGCAGTGATGGAACCTGCAGTGATGGTAGCCTGCAGTGATGGTAGCCTGCAGTGATGGTAGCCTGCAGTGATGGAACCTGCAGTGATGGAACCTGCAGTGATGGTAGCCTGCAGTGATGGTAGCCTGCAGTGATGGTAGCCTGCAGTGATGGAACCTGCAGTGATGGTAGCCTGCAGTGATGGTAGCCTGCAGTGATGGTAGCCTGCAGTGATGGAACCTGCAGTGATGGTAGCCTGCAGTGATGGAACCTGCAGTGATGGTAGCCTGCAGTGATGGTAGCCAGCAGTGATGGTAGCCTGCAGTGATGGTAGCCTGCAGTGATGGAACCTGCAGTGATGGTAGCCTGCAGTGATGGTAGCCTGCAGTGATGGTAGCCTGCAGTGATGGAACCTGCAGTGATGGTAGCCTGCAGTGATGGTAGCCTGCAGTGATGGAACCTGCAGTGATGGTAGCCTGCAGTGATGGAACCTGCAGTGATGGTAGCCTGCAGTGATGGTAGCCTACAGTGATGGTAGCCTGCAGTGATGGAACCTGCAGTGATGGTAGCCTGCAGTGATGGTAGCCTGCAGTGATGGTAGCCTGCAGTGATGGAACCTGCAGTGATGGTAGCCTGCAGTGATGGTAGCCTGCAGTGATGGTAGCCTGCAGTGATGGAACCTGCAGTGATGGTAGCCTGCAGTGATGGTAGCCTGCAGTGATGGTAGCCTGCAGTGATGGTAGCCTGCAGTGATGGAACCTGCAGTGATGGTAGCCTGCAGTGATGGAACCTGCAGTGATGGTAGCCTGCAGTGATGGAACCTGCAGTGATGGTAGCCTGCAGTGATGGTAGCCTGCAGTGATGGTAGCCTGCAGTGATGGTAGCCTGCAGTGATGGAACCTGCAGTGATGGTAGCCTGCAGTGATGGTAGCCTGCAGTGATGGTAGCCTGCAGTGATGGAACCTGCAGTGATGGTAGCCTGCAGTGATGGTAGCCTGCAGTGATGGAACCTGCAGTGATGGTAGCCTGCAGTGATGGTAGCCTGCAGTGATGGAACCTGCAGTGATGGTAGCCTGCAGTGATGGTAGCCTGCAGTGATGGTAGCCTGCAGTGATGGAACCTGCAGTGATGGTAGCCTGCAGTGATGGTAGCCTGCAGTGATAGTAGCCTGCAGTGACGGAACCTGCAGTGATGGTAGCCTGCAGTGATGGTAGCCTGCAGTGATGGTAGCCTGCAGTGATGGTAGCCTGCAGTGATGACTGCATGATGAACCTGCAGTGATGGAACCTGCAGTGATGGTAGCCTGCAGTGATGGTAGCCTGCAGTGATGGTAGCCTGCAGTGATGGTAGCCTGCAGTGATGGTAGCCTGCAGTGATGGAACCTGCAGTGATGGTAGCCTGCAGTGATGGTAGCCTGCAGTGATGGTAGCCTGCAGTGATGGTAGACTGCAGTGATGGTAGCCTGCAGTGATGGTAGCCTGCAGTGATGGAACCTGCAGTGATGGTAGCCTGCAGTGATGGTAGCCTGCAGTGATGGTAGCCTGCAGTGATGGCAGCCTGCAGTGATGGTAGCCTGCAGTGATGGTAGCCTGCAGTGATGGTAGCCTGCAGTGATGGAACCTGCAGTGATGGAAACAGCAGTGATGGTAGCCTGCAGTGATGGTAGCCTGCAGTGATGGTAGCCTGCAGTGATGGTAGCCTGCAGTGATGGTAGCCTGCAGTGATGGAACCTGCAGTGATGGAACCTGCAGTGATGGTAGCCTGCAGTGATGGTAGCCTGCAGTGATGGTAGCCTGCAGTGATGGTAGCCTGCAGTGATGGTAGCCTGCAGTGATGGTAGCCTGCAGTGATGGTAGCCTGTAGTGATGGTAGCCTGCAGTGATGGTAGCCTGCAGTGATGGTAGCCTGCAGTGATGGTAGCCTGCAGTGATGGAACCTGCAGTGATGGTAACCTGCAGTGATGGTAGCCTGCAGTGATGGTAGCCTGCAGTGATGGTAGCCTGCAGTGATGGTAGCCTGCAGTGATGGTAGCCTGCAGTGATGGAACCTGCAGTGATGGTAGCCTGCAGTGATGGTAGCCTGCAGTGATGGTAGCCTGCAGTGATGGTAGCCTGCAGTGATGGTAGCCTGCAGTGATGGTAGCCTGCAGTGATGGTAGCCTGTAGTGATGGTAGCCTGCAGTGATGGTAGCCTGCAGTGATGGTAGCCTGCAGTGATGGAACCTGCAGTGATGGTAGCCTGCAGTGATGGTAGCCTGCAGTGATGGTAGCCTGCAGTGATGGTAGCCTGTAGTGATGGTAGCCTGCAGTGATGGTAGCCTGCAGTGATGGTAGCCTGCAGTGATGGTAGCCTGCAGTGATGGAACCTGCAGTGATGGTAGCCTGCAGTGATGGTAGCCTGCAGTGATGGTAGCCTGCAGTGATGGTAGCCTGCAGTGATGGTAGCCTGCAGTGATGGTAGCCTGCAGTGATGGAACCTGCAGTGATGGAACCTGCAGTGATGGAACCTGCAGTGATGGAACCTGCAGTGATGGTAGCCTGCAGTGATGGAACCTGCAGTGATGGAACCTGCAGTGATGGAACCTGCAGTGATGGAACCTGCAGTGATGGTAGCCTGCAGTGATGGAACCTGCAGTGATGGAACCTGCAGTGATGGGACCTGCAGTGATGGAACCTGCAGTGATGGAACCTGCAGTGATGGAACCTGCAGTGATGGAACCTGCAGTGATGGAACCTGCAGTGATGGAACCTATAATGATGGGAATCTGCAATCATGGAACCTATATCGATGGAACCTGCATTGATGGGAACCTACAGTGATGGGAACTTAGTGATGGGAACTTCCAGTATTGGGATCTTATTTTGATGCTAACCTACAGTGGTGAAACCTAAAGTGATGTGGGACCTACTATGATTGGAACCTACAGTGTTGGGACCCGACATTAATGTAACCTCCAGTGATGGGGATCTATAGTGATAGGAAGGTAACCCGCAGTGACACAACCTGCAGTGATGGGAACCTTCAGTGATGCCATCTAGAGTGATGGAACCTACAGTGATGGAATCGTACAGTGATGGAACCTAAAGTGAGGGGAACCTACAGGGATGGGAACCTAGAGTGATGGAAACCTGCAGCGATGGGAACCTAGAGTGATGAAACCTAGAGTGATGGGAACCTACAGGGATGGGATTCTAGAGTGATAGAACCTTGAACTGTAGAAACTACAGTGATGGGAAGCTACAGTAATGGAACCTACAGTGATGGAAACTTCCAATTATGGGCACCTACAGTGATGGGAACCTACACAACGTGCAGTGATGGAACCTACAGTGATGGGAACCTACAGTGATGGGAACCTGGAGTGATGGGAACCTACAGTGATGGAACCTACAGTGATGGAAACCTAGAGTAATGTAACCTCCAGTGTTGGGAATCTAGAGCGATGGAACCATAGTGATGGAACCTACAATGATGGGGAACCTACAGTGATGGGAAACTACACTGATGGGAACCTAGTGATTTGAATCTACAGTGATGGGAATCTACCCTACAGTGATGTACCCTCCAGTGATAATAACCTATAGTGATGGGAACCTAAAGTGATGGGAACCTACAGTGATTGGAATCTACACATCCTACAGTGATGCGGATAAAGAAACCGAGGCAGTGTTAGGTTACAGTACCTAGAACACCTGGAGTATACCTGTCAGTAGTGTGTCACTGATTACTTAATTACTTGTGTAGTATACTTAGATTCCCAGCTATGTTATAGATCGGCTCCCTGGCTAGTGTGACGTCACGAGCCACTCGCACGTCAGCAGCTATCCAGTGGCTTCTCTCTCACTTCAACATAGGCATAGACTCGCCAGGCAGACCTGGTCTCTTTCCCTCAAGACTCATATTATACGACTCCAAATCATCCATCGAGTGTATTCCTTACTCCAGTATCTCCTTAAGGACCCACATGACATACCTAGAGAGGGTTTCGGGGGTCAACGACCCCGCGGCCCGGTCTGAGACCAGGCCTCGTGGTGGATCAGAGTCTGATCAACTAGGCTGTTACTGCTGGCCTTAAGCAAACTGACATACGACTCACAGCCGGGCTGGTCAGGTACTGACTATAGGTGCCTGTCCAGTGACTTCATGAAGATAGCCAGGGGTCTATTGGTAATCACCCTTATGTATGCTGGGAGGCAGTTGAATAGTCTTGGGACCCTGACACTTATTGTGTTGTCTCTTACTGTACTCGTGGCGCCCCTGCTTTTCACTGGGGAAATGTAACATCTCCTGTCGAGTCTTGTGCTTTCATGGGGAATGATTGTCGTGTGCAAGTTTGGTACCAATCCCTCTAGGATTTTCCAAGTGTATATTATCATGTATCTTTCTCGCCTGCTTTCCAAGGAATACAAATCAAGGGATATCAACCGTTCCCAGTAATTTAGGTGCTTTATCGCACTTATGTGTGCCGTGAAAGTTCTTTGTATACTCTCCAGGTCAGCAATTTCGCCTGCTTTGAAAGGGGCCGTTAGTGTACACCAGTATTCCAGCCTAGAGAGAACAAGCGATTGGAAGAGAATCATCATGGGCTTGGCGTCCCAAGTGTCAGGTTACAGAACTGGTACAAGTGTCAGGTTACAGTATCTGGAACAAGTGTTAGTTAGGTTACAGTACTTGGGACCTGGTAGCAGTACCTGGTGCAAGTGAGAGGTTACAGTACCTGGTACAAGTGTCAGGTTATAGTACCTGGGACAAGTGAGAGGTTACAGCACCTGGCACAAGTGTCAGGTTACAGTACCTCGGACATGTGTTAGGTTACAGTACCTGGGGCGATTGTAAGATTACAGTACCTCGTGCAATTGTATGGTTACAGTACCTGGTACAAGTGTCAGGTTAGAGTACCTGGTACAAGCGTCAGGTTACAGTACCTGGGGCAAGTTCCAGGTTACAGTAACTCGGGCTAGTGGTAGGTTACAGTACCTACATGATGGCAAATTTACAACTCTTACAGTAGTGTTGATTCTACAGCAGCTGCAACAATGAGTGATTCATAGTAACTATCTTAGATTTTCAGTACCTGCAGTAAGACTAACTAATATACAGGCTTTACGTGAGTGGTATACTGAGAGTGACTGTAACGATGTTTAGATGAGCTGTAACAATGTTTAGATGAACTGTAACAATCTTTAGAAAAGCTGTAACAGTGTTTAGATGAGCTGTAACAATGTTTAGATAAGCTGTAACAATGTTTAGATGAGCTATAACAATGTTTAGATGAGCTGTAACAATGTTTAATGAGCTGTAACAATGTTTAGATGAGCTGTAACAATGTTTAATGAGCTGTAACAATGTTTAGATGAGCTGTAACAATGTTTAATGAGCTGTAACAATGTTTAATGAGCTGTAACAATGTTTAATGAGCTGTAACAATGTTTAATGAGCTGTAACAATGTTTAGATGAGCTGTAACCAGTGACTGTAAGTTGACCTTAGGTTAAGTAAGGTTTGTCAGGAAACAGGACAAGTGTTTCCTGACGCGGGTCTTATTCATGTCATGACCCACAGCTGGAGGTGTTTGTCATCTAACCGAGGCCTTCCACTGGCTTAGCCGTTTATCTCTTTAAAAATTAGTGGAACTTCGCAGTATCTGAAGAGATCTAAACTCACACCCTTCCAGGTGGGTGTCTTCTGCTAATGAAGGGCTCCTAATCCAAAGAATTGGAGCTACCCTCCTATCTTTTGTATCAAATCTGATTACCTGTGTGACGCTTACGGTTTTAGAATTTCCGTCAGTAAAATAATATAGTTTCCCGGCCTTGAGACCAGATACCCCCCTTGACTGCTTGATGATCCAGGGTGCTGGTGGCAGGTCAGGTGACTACTTACCGTGTGTGTTGAAGCTGGAGGTGAGGCGGGACAGGGAGAGCATACTCCTGTGATGACCAAGTTAATAATTCCTCTCCCAGTACTGTCTTAGTGTCTCCCCTCTCTGTGTAGACCAGTACACTCACTGTACCACTGTGACTGCTGGTACACTCACCCAGCTCAGCTGCCAGGCTCACTACACCCACACTCCTGCAGCGTAACATATGTTGCTGATTAATGCCATATAGAGGAAATGGGAGAAAGTGAAATAAGGACACATATAATGAAAGTATAAAAGAAAGAGGGGCATAGAAGCCATTATTAAAAGAAGGTTGCCATTAGAAGATCGTATAAGCGAAATTGTGAAAAAAATAATAAATAGCCGGAAATTTATATATAAAAAAAAAACCTGTTTACAAGATATATTAAGCCAAAATTTTAATATCCTGTAGTGTGGTTGTGCCCACATTTAAAAAAAATGCAGCTAATTTTGAAAAGTTTCAAAGAATAGCTGCAACACTGATTACCAGAGTTTTTAAAATAAGAAAGTCTGACAACACCAGAGACGCCCATGTTGACTGAGAGGTCAAGAACAGACATGATAACCACACAAGGTTATCATGTAACAGATAATGATGGTTATCAATCAGCTGCAACAACGATAACAAGTGGCTACACTTGGATAACAAGTGGCCACACTTGGATAAAAAGTGGCCACACTTGGATAACAAGTGGCCACACTTGGATAACAAGTGGCCACACTTGGATAAAAAGTGACTACACTTGGATAACAAGTGACCACACTTGGATAACAAGTGACTACACTTGGATAACAAGTGGCCACACTTGGGTAACAAGTGACTACACTTGGATAACAAGTGGCCACACTTGGGTAACAAGTGACCACACTTGAGTAACAAGTGACCACACTTGGGTAACAAGTGACCACACTTGAGTAACAAGTGACCACGCTTGGGTAACAAGTGACCACACTTGAGTAACAAGTGACCACGCTTGGGTAACAAGTGACCACACTTGGGTAACAAGTGACCACACTTGGGTAACAAGTGACCACACTTGGGTAACAAGGGTTAGGCAAGCGAAGAATTCCCAAGTATTAAGAACCCAAGAAGTTACAGTGTCTGACAGGATTGTGGATGAATGGTTCAGAGAACCGACACGTTGATAAATTAGACACATATGCAACTCTTGGGAACTTAATTAGATCTTAATACTTGGGAATTCTTCGCTTGCCTAACCCTTGGGCACGACCTACTTCCACATTGGATAAATGTAACACCACCTACGACTGCTGCACCTCTCCTGCCTACGGTATACAAGCCACTTCTCCGCACATATGCTGTATTCTATTCAAAATTGATGGACTGACCACATCGACTCAAGGTTGAGGGACTGATTACCTCATTCTTCCCCTGTTCTTTATGTTTCTCCTTTGTATGGACTGATGAAGTCATTGTGTGGCGAAACGTTTCCTCAATAAAGATACCCAAGAGTTGCACATGTGTCTAATTTATCAACGTGTCGGTTCTCTGAACCATTCATCTACAGGTATGATGTTACCAAGCTATGAGGACTTTGCCCTCGTTGTGAGAGGGCCTAGACAGCAGCTACACAGGGCTCAGCAAGCCTCATATCTACCTCCCTCAGGAATCTCTGTCTCAAGACTTCAGCTGAGAAATCGAAGGCTCTTGGAATCAAGCCTAAAATTCCCTCGTCCAACTCCGCATACAAACTGAAGACCTCAAGGGGACTACATTATATCACTACATCGGTGTCTGGATCGACAAGGGACTTAACTTCTAAAAGCAGGTCGAGTACATCAGTTCTCTTGCTCTCTTCTAGGCCGATTGCCATAAAAGCCATGTTAAACCCTTAATCTGGAGCCTGCCATGATATCCTGAATATTCTATGTCAATTACGGAACACCAAACCTAAAAAAAAAAAAAAAAAAAAAAAAAATTACATTCACACCATGGTCTGTATCAGGTTTTAAGTGAGTCTGTTCTCTCTCTCTCTCTCAAGCAGCAAAACTCGTCAACACCTCCCCAGCAACAACAAGGAGCACCGCAACCAAAAGAAAGCTATCAGCTGACAGTCACCAAGACCGTGCTGTACTTACGAGCTGTTGCTCGTAAGGTTAGTATTTGGCTCAACGAAGAAGTTACCGCCTACAACTCAGTACCTGGAGTCGGGTAGCGGCTTGCCAGCTGCAGAGCCAGGTAGCAACCTGCCAGCTGCAGAGCCAGGTAGCATCCTGCCAGCTGCAGAGCCAGGTAGCAACCTGCCAGCTGCAGAGCCAGGTAGCATCCTGCCAGCTACAGAGCCAGGTAGCAACCTGCCAGCTGCAGAGCCAGGTAGCAACCTGCCAGCTGCAGAGCCAGGTAGCAACCTGCCAGCTGACTATACAACTCACTCATTTGACATTGAGTGAGCAAGCAACTGTACAGCACTGAGGATTCATGCACATTCTCTTATTATATCAATGGTTTTGTAAACAGCCAAGTTGATGAATGAGACACCTGTGCAACGCTTGGGTATCTACTGTGGAGACGTTTCCCCAACCAGTGGCTTCTTCAGCCCAATACAAAGAATGGTGAAAGATGAGGAGGAGTTTGAGATAATCAGTCCCTCAGCCTGGAGATGATGTGTTCAGCCCATCAATCTTAATAAAAGTATAGCAAATTCACGGAGAAGAGACTTATATACTGTAGACAGGTCAGGTGTACCGGAAGAGGCTATTGAGGTAATCAGTCCAGGCTAAAGGACTGATTTCTTTAAACTCCTCATCGTCTACCTTTCTGAAGAAGCCACTGGCTGGAGAAACGTTCCATAACAAAGATACTCAAATGTTGCACAAGTGTCTCATTTATCATGCATACCCTAGCACGGCACAAGCAGCAGGTCCAGACAGGCTGTTCTGCTTCACTGATGACTCAGTTGACCCAAAGAAGAAGTGGGCAGCCGCAGCAGTGCTTCACAATGGATCACTGTTCACCTCTTCAGTGGGCAGTGCATACACCAGCATCTAAGACATCCATTGATACACCATGACTTCATTGCTGCAATACAAGTGCTACAACACACACAGAAGAGGACAACAACGCTCGTCTCATCACCTCAACACTCTCTCTCCTCCAGAACTTAGATACTCAGGGGCCGAGGACTAACTTCTCAGCTTGTAGGAAAATCCCAAACTCAATTGCCAAGGTCACTGAATATCTCAGTGTTAATTATTAAGACTTCCTCTACTTCCCCCAACAAATTCTACAGAGATAACTTCAGTATTACACTACACAGACATAACTTCAATTTTACACTAGAAAATTCCCTCTACAGGTAAAGGACTGTAGAGGGAGCGTCTTTCTCTTTCTCTTCTTTTTTCTTAGGAAAATGTGCCTTTAACATACCTCAAGTACCACAAAGTTAATTCTTTCTAGGCAAAGGTTCAGATCCGTGTAATTTAGGATGTCTTCCCAGCTTGTTTCATTTAGGACATCGTTAATTTCATCCCACTGTATGTTTCTGTTATTGAAGTTGAATTTGGTGAAGGCACCCACATAACTGATCTCATTTTGCTTGTCAGGGCCCTGAGTAAACATGTCTGCACTTCAATTATGTTGTGACCCGAGTGTATTGTCTTTGATACTGCTATATTTCATACCAGATCATCATTATTAGTGAAAATAAGGTTAAGTGTATTTTCCAGTCTTGTTGGTTCCACTATTTGGTGGTTTAAGGTGAATTTGTTGCATGTGTGTGTGTGAATTTTCATCCGAGCTGCCTCCTGAGGTTATCACTGCTAAAACCGTATTTGTAACATTCCTCCATTTTCGGTGTCTTGAGTTGAAAAACCCCAGCAACAAGGTATAATGAGTCTGGAGTTGGAAAATTCACCAGACAGTAAATTTTCAAAAGCTGTTCCTTGAAATGTTGGGAAGTTGCATCTGGTGGCTTGTATACAGCCACACTAACAAGATTATGGTTTTCAATTTTTACTGCCAAAACTTCACCTATATCATTTGTGGTGTCACCCCCCCCCCATCTTTGTTGCCTGTTCTTTCTGTCTCGTCTGAATAAGTTGTACCCTGGGATCCATATTTTGTTGTCAAAGTGATCCTTTGTGTGGGTCTCTGTGAAAGCCTCAAACATTACATCTGAGCCTCTGAAGAGTCCACTGATGAAAGGAATTTTGTTGTTTGTTGATGGTTTTAGACCCTGAATATTTGTAAATACAAATGTTGTCGTACTGGTTGTAAGTAGGGAGGCTTTATTTGTTGGCACTAATAATCTGTTGTTCTGGAAGGGGGTGCCACTGACTGTGTCTCCACTCCAGTACTGATCCGAGGCAGTGTGGTATTTCTGTCATTTCCTGTCAGTTTTTTCTTTCTGGCAGTATAAAATCTCTTTCTCTGGAGTAAACAAATGAAATACATTTACAATGATGTCGATTATTGTTAACTGTTACATCAGGGGTGATGAGGTAAGCTTATTTCCACCGGTATGACAGTCAGACGTCAATATAGGAACAATGCGAGGCTTCAATGTAGGTAACACAAATATAAAACACTATACCTGACATCTGTACAGGGAACCATATCTGACGCCAATATAAATCACCATTGCTATCAATAATATAAAGCACTAAAGGTGGTATCAATATAAGGCATCACTGGCATTAGTATAAGGCATCTTAACTGGCATCAGTATAAGGCATTGCTGATATTAATATAAAGCACTATAGCTGGCATCAATATAAGGCATCATAGCTGGCATTAGTATAAGGCATCACAGATGGCATCAATATGAGGTATCACAGCTGGCGTCAGTATAAGGCATCATTGGTGTCATCAAATATAAGGCATCGTAGCTAGCATCAATATAAGGCATCATTACTAGCATATGTCATTATACCTGGCATCAATATAAGTCATCATACCTGGCATCAATATAAGGGGTACACACTCTACGCAGACCGTCACCAGAGAAAACTAGACGTTGGCGACCTGAACATTGCTTCACCTTCCCGGCCTTCGTCACCCACCTGTGACAAACACTGATTATCATTATGTGATGTAAGCAGATATATGTGCATACATGTTGAAGGAGGAAAATAATGTGTTAAAGAACTTCAGTAATAAGAGTTTTTTTTATTGAGTTTTATCTCAAAATTTTTTTTTGCCTGAGCTGTAATCTTTTAATTTTTAAGTGAAAGTGCTTTGATTTTCCTGCAGGGCCTTTGATCCAAGTAATTAAAAATACATTTCCATCCTTCGGATTACATCTAATTACATCCTCCCATGTCTTAGCTTGCTAAGTTTGAAGCCTATCAATTCACGCACGTTAACAATCAAGAATACTTTATTAACAATAATAAGCTTTATAGCGAACTCTTGGAGTATATACACTGAGATATACATCTCTCACTGTATATATAATGAGGGATTTATAACTCAGTGCATATATATATACACACCTCAGAGCTATCATACACTAATACACATCTCGCTTTATCTATAATGAGACATACAGCTGTCGATGTATATACAGAAATGTATAAATATCAGTGCTCCATGTACATGCTGAAAGACATTTCTCGGTGTATTAACACAGAGATAAACCTAAAAACAATCCTCGAAGCGTATATACAGACATACAACCCTCTACATATATTCACACACCTCTGCTATGTACCAGGAGATAAACATCTCACACTATATATGCAATATCCTGTATGACCTCCTTCCAAACTGAAATTACTGCTAAACATTTAAGTTGGAGATGGATTACTTCAGGGACACACTGTTTACTGACCCGCTGGGAGGCTGTTTTATGAAATGGTGTCCCAGGATCACGTCATGGGCCGGAGGTGTAGCCCGCAGGTCCAGTAGGCGTGTGGTGGTCAAACTGTTAGAGCCTGGTCCACTGCCCTCAAACACTAGGCTGTTGCCCTCAGAACCACACCACTCCTGTAATGTCATATACACAGTGTGTCACTAGCAATATAAGCACGTGCTGAAGACACCAAGGGAAGGGGGGCCACCACAGACTACCGGTACCATAGCTGTAGAATTTTAATGAATACCAGATTCAAAGAAAGGGCCTAGCGGCATAATCTAAGAGAAGCAAAATTACCTGTGAGGAACTAGCTGAATTAATTTCTAAAAAGATCCAGTTGTCACAAGATTTATCACATATAGATCAGTTAAATGATGTATTTCGATACTTTAAGATGGACAGCCTACTGAACGCTTTTGGAACTAAAAAGCCATACAGGTGAGGAAATGACAAAGCAGGTGTTGTATTACTTAAACGAAGTTTGAAAACTAGATTTTTCAAAACGTAGACTTAACATCTGGGTGTTATAAGGATATACAGGCAAAGATTTTAGAAGAAAATAAGTTTTCCATCTGTGTCATGCGCAGTGGGTGGTGTTAACTGTTGTGTGTCATGCGCAGTGGGTGGTGTTAACTGTTGTGTGTCATGCGCAGTGGGTGGTGTTAACTGTTGTGTGTCATGCGCAGTGGGTGGTGTTAACTGTTGTGTGTCATGCGCAGTGGGTGGTGTTAACTGTTGTGTGTCATGCGCAGTGGGTGGTGTTAACTGTTGTGTGTCATGCGCAGTGGGTGGTGTTACCTGTTGTGTGTCATGCGCAGTGGGTGGTGTTAACTGTTGTGTGTCATGCGCAGTGGGTGGTGTTAACTGTTGTGTGTCATGCGCAGTGGGTGGTGTTAACTGTTGTGTGTCATGCGCAGTGGGTGGTGTTAACTGTTGTGTGTCATGCGCAGTGGGTGGTGTTAACTGTTGTGTGTCATGCGCAGTGGGTGGTGTTAACTGTTGTGTGTCATGCGCAGTGGGTGGTGTTAACTGTTGTGTGTCATGCGCAGTGGGTGGTGTTACCTGTTGTGTGTCATGCGCAGTGGGTGGTGTTAACTGTTGTGTGTCATGCGCAGTGGTGGTGTTACCTGTTGTGTGTCATGCGCAGTGGGTGGTGTTAACTGTTGTGTGTCATGCGCAGTGGGTGGTGTTACCCGTTGTGTGTCATGCGCAGTGGGTGGTGTTACCTGTTGTGTGTCATGCGCAGTGGGTGGTGTTAACTGTTGTGTGTCATGCGCAGTGGGTGGTGTTAACTGTTGTGTGTCATGCGCAGTGGGTGGTGTTACCTGTTGTGTGTCATGCGCAGTGGGTGGTGTTAACTGTTGTGTGTCATGCGCAGTGGGTGGTGTTACCCGTTGTGTGTCATGCGCAGTGGGTGGTGTTACCTGTTGTGTGTCATGCGCAGTGGGTGGTGTTAACTGTTGTGTGTCATGCGCAGTGGGTGGTGTTAACTGTTGTGTGTCATGCGCAGTGGGTGGTGTTACCTGTTGTGTGTCATGCGCAGTGGGTGGTGTTACCTGTTGTGTGTCATGCGCAGTGGGTGGTGTTACCCGTTGTGTGTCATGCGCAGTGGGTGGTGTTACCTGTTGTGTGTCATGCGCAGTGGGTGGTGTTACCCGTTGTGTGTCATGCGCAGTGGGTGGTGTTACCTGTTGTGTGTCATGCGCAGTGGGTGGTGTTACCCGTTGTGTGTCATGCGCAGTGGGTGGTGTTACCTGTTGTGTGTCATGCGCAGTGGGTGGTGTTACCTGTTGTGTGTCATGCGCAGTGGGTGGTGTTACCTGTTGTGTGTCATGCGCAGTGGGTGGTGTTACCTGTTGTGTGTCATGCGCAGTGGGTGGTGTTACCCGTTGTGTGTCATGCGCAGTGGGTGGTGTTACCTGTTGTGTGTCATGCGCAGTGGGTGGTGTTACCCGTTGTGTGTCATGCGCAGTGGGTGGTGTTAACTGTTGTGTGTCATGCGCAGTGGGTGGTGTTAACTGTTGTGTGTCTTATCACATAGTGCCTTTCCCCTACTGCCTAGATTGATGACCACGTACCTTGACCTTGGCCCCGGGGAAGAACATCCAGTTGGTAGGATCTACAGGGTCGAAGTCGTCAACAACTGGGTGGTGAGAGGCGTCGCTGGTGGTGAGGGCTACGTCATCCAGGCCCCAGCAGGTGTCGTTGTGGTCGTCTTGAGGCAGGGCTCGCCAGCCTACACAAACCCCAGGTACTCTAAACCTTGAAGGCACTCTCTGGATGTGTACCTCACTTGAGGCTCCAGCTCTGGG